TTTTTTTTTTTTTTTTAATTTTTAATTTTTGAGAAGATATAGTAACAGCTTGATTATGGTCTGATTCCCAATCGTTGAAGTACTTTAGAATGCCAAGTAGTTGCATTTGAGAAGAATTTGATTGGATTTTTATTTTTATTTTTTTTTCTTGTCATGAAATACCGACCTCTGTGATTCAAATGGTTCTCCCTATCCTCCTTTGCCCTCTGCTCATGTAGCTAACATCGAAATCAAATGTCGTGTAACGATAGACAAGAATAAAAGATTCAGGGATTAAAGCATTTAAATTCTAAGCTGTAATGTCACATGGAATCAAATAAAGATGATGGCTGGCTCTTTGGCGAAAATCTCTAGATTAGGTCATAATAATCATTTAGAGCTGTAATGCTCACATAGAAACACATAATTACACTTTGAACAGTGAATCACAGTTTTTGTCCGAGAAAACTGTTTAAGCTGGTTAAGTACTCGCGTAACCAATCACTTTATCTTCTCTTTTCAATTGTTTGGAAATTTTCCCTTCCATTGGTTCATTCTTGCTTCCATTTGAACCAGGTAAAAATAACTTTATCGAACAAAAGAGCTCCCATGTTCGCGGTTTAAGATCAAAGATTTTGATTTCACTTGGTGCCAACAAGAGTGGGAAAGAGAAATAAAAAGAAGGGAAAAGGCGAAATATATATCTTATACGATGCAGAGCCTGTCGAGTAATAAACACCATGATCAAACAATGAGTCATTCATATCCAAACTTGTACGGTGGCCACTTATCTCTTTGGTTTCCCACCAAACAGCCGGAGTTTTCCGGGCCCAACTATGTTGCCACTAAGCATGAATCGAAAGCTGAATACAATCGCCATGTGGAATACTTATCAGAGTCTGGGTATCAAGAAAAGGATCTGTGTTCTTCTTTGTCAACTGGTCAGCCTAATTTTGAAGCTGTCCCTTCGGTAAAAAGCAGCTTTCATGAGCACAATGTCGCGTTTCAGCCTGGTAAAAATCGTTTGAATGTCAAGTTTGATTATTATGATGCCTTCTTTATATTAGTTTAGATTCTCCTCAGCA